TCCTTAATCAAAGTTCGTGGATATTTATTTCCTTCCAAAATCAATTCCATTTATCATTTTCACTTATTCAAAATGATAGATAAATTTATTCTCTGGGACCTTGAATGTATTGACTTTATGTGTGATGTAATGGAAGAGACCCATTTAGATGACAAGCATTTGTATAATAACCACCAAAAATTTGATGCAAAAAGAATAAGGACATAACCGAGAAAAAAAAAAAGAATAAGGACATAAGGGATATTATCGTTTCCTTTTGTGATAAAATTCCTATGTCCAAATCTCATCTATTTTCTGTGTAAAATACTTCATGTCTAATGAAAACGACGAAAAAGTTGTTCAATTTCATTGGTAGTTCATTTGGTTACTTAGAGTCGTTGAAGATTTGGAATGACAATATTGGTAATTTGAAGATTCAAGTAACAGAAAAGAACAAGTACGTATCAGTGTATGTGTACATAAGCTGTGAAAAATTATGAAAAAGAAATGCAAAGGTTTGACAAAACACTATTTGAATTTTGAAATCAGTGTGATGAGAAAGAAATATACGAATGTTCTAGGCTTATCAAGGACACTATTTGAATTCTTAGTTTATGAAAAATACAAGGCCTGTTCGTTGCGACAGCTTCCCGCGGCTAAAAATAAGATGTTACCGAAAACAAAAGACACAACGAAGATAAAAAAATGTTGCCGCTGCGATTACTTTCATGGACGCCGTTGGTGTCACCGGCATTGCTGGAAAAATCAGCGGCAGTCAAAATAGACGCTGGAGAAACTAAATCTCTCTAGTGGGGAAGACGAAGAAGACATCTCTCTCGTGAGAGGATTTGGGTATATCAATGTTTCTGTTATTGAAGAAAGATCAATTAATATTGTGTTTATATAGCCTTGGTTTAGCACAACCGCATAACCAATTTACAGCTAACCGGATCACAATCACATTAACACTCTGATACCCTCCCTCAGTACATTTAGGTTACTGAGAAAATAAAACTTACGCTAATTAAAATTATTCCAGCATTACAGAATCAAATTTTCACAATGATAATAGTTTGAATAGTTATGGGCTTATGGCTTATGACAAACTCACTCCATTACAGTTTAGTTTTGTTCTGTAATATAGTATGTTCGAGGGGAATTAGGTCTAATAACACACAAAAATTTAATAATTAAATGAATGACTATAATAAACTATGGTTAGAGTATTCTCAATAAATTCTATAGCTATAGCTAAGTTTGATTTTTCTTCAACGAGACATAAACTAACTAAAATAAGAAGGGAAAAAACTATTTACCAACAAATAGTAACGAGAATAAATAAAAAGAAGTAAAAGAAGATGCATAATATCTCACACCATGCAATTTAGCTTGTGCACTAAAACATGGTAGAATGGACAATGTGCAGTCAAATTTTTGGTCAACCGGTTACTCTCTTAATTTTTTAATCTTCATAGCTATATTCTTCAATAGTTTGGCCAATATGGTTATTAGATTAATTGACCCTATGTTCGATTTCTTGCACTGCTTTAAANAAAAAAAAAAAAAACGCGTCTTCACTTTTCAAGTTTTCCCTTTTGTTCTTTGCTTCTTCATAAAGCTCACTGTTAACCTAATTAGTCTGCAAAATCATCAATATTGAACAGAGATTCCAAAGATAACTTCACTGGAGAAAAACCCATCACTTTTCTTTACCTACCTGAAAAGTTATCTTTTTTCCTCTTGAAACACAAAAGCTACACATATACATAGAAACAAACACACACTAGAGATGAATAGAATCAAATATTGTCTTTTACTCTTTTACAATTTACCTCATTTTGCCTCTTTTTTTTTCAAAAAAAAAAAAAATCTTTTTCCTATCATAATCATGCCTCCATTTCGTTTTCACATTCCTTTCTTCTCCTATGGCTCTCCTTCTCGTCTCTCTTCGGGGACTTCTTCGCCATCGCCACCACCGACTCCTCCTTCACGTCCTCCTTTTCGTCCCGCCGGCATCGCTCAGCCGTCAAAGCCAGAAACAAAGTCCAAGGTGTCTCCGTCACTTTCTAGGGCTAAAAGCAATGATGCAGCCATATTAGCTTCTTTGTCTGGATCTCAATCCCCTTCTCTCGGTGTAGCCACGCCAAACCGGCTGGCGAAACAGAGTAACCAGCAATCTGGTTCTCCGTTAAAGAAACCAGAATCTCTGAGGACGGAGGAGCAAAAGATGATAAGGAAAGAGAAGCCTTCAAGAGTGTCTTTAAAAGAAGCTGGCGAGAATAGTAATCCGGTAATAGAGAAACCGGGTCGTTCAGACC